AAAACTGACCAATAACAAGTGTTGGCCGGAATCATAAAGCGCCGTACTTTATATAATGATACCACGCTGCAACCGAGCGAAGGATTTCCTATGTCAGAGGACAAGAAAAAATAACAAGTCGATGGATCAGGAAGCCAGACTGCTTGAAACGCTAAGTAACCAGTCTATAGTATTTGAGGTGCTGGATGCGACGTGAACTGCGTATTAACCCTATTCCTGGCGGGCTCCGCCGGGACAAGAAACTGGCGGGGGGGGGGCCGATTCGGCCCCCCCTGAGATCTCGAGAACGAAGCAAGCTAGTGACAAACGGTAAACGGCATCGGATACGCACGGTCAAGATCTACAATTTTTACTAAGGTCATTTTCAGGTCAGGTCAAAGATGACGTCACAGGGGTCGAAAAAGTCAAAATGGCGGCGCTAGATATGGAGAGAGTTTTTCTCGAATAACTTTCGAATTAGTCAAGATAGGAACAAACTAAGGGCATCATCGTGATCCTCTCGTCAATCCGCATCGAATGATATATATATATATATGTTGACCTCGCAAGGTCAAGGTCAAAGGTTGACCTCAGGTCACGTGACCTCGAGGTCATCATGTATATCATTCGATGCGTCTTGACGAGCTGAACACAATGAGACCATCCACGCGTCTGTATCTTGTTCCTGTACGGAGTTATTGGCCAAAAACCTTTGGTGACCTTTGATGACGTCACATGACCTCACAGCTGCCCAACTGCAAAACAGACCTCAAGGTAGTGAAGGTTGATCGTATATGAAGTCATGTATGGTATATGGGGCCATTCCGACCCGTTTTAGTGGTAAAAACAGGGAGTTGATTTTTCCCCCATTGACTTATAATGGGGAGGTCGCGAAACTGACCTGACCTTAGGTCACCGATATCAAAATTCCGAGATATACAAATTGCACATGCTGGTACCCTAACTAAAGCCTGAAGAGAAGAAATTGATCGGTCAAAAACTCTAGCTTTGGCGTGATTGCAAACTTTTCTGAGGTAGGGTCACCAAACCGCCTCTGGTGACCTGACCTGAGGTCAGATCAACTCAAAATTTTCTCAGACATGTTGCGTAGAAGCCTTTTAGGAAAAGTCAGAAAATTTGAGCTTCCTAGCTCAACGCGTTTGGGAGAAATAACCAAAAAACCTCAGGGGGGGGGGGCTCCTGAGGCCCCCCACCCAGGAATAGGGTTAAAGGGACACTCCCACCTTAACATTAGTTTTGAGTTGAGATAGCCCAATTGGTGGCCATGGCCTGCAAATACCGGTTTGGGCACTCACAACATCGACAAATGCTTTAATTCGGAGATATGGAATTTCAAACTTGCAGTTTTCGGATTCTAAGGGGCTAGTGCATTGGTATGCCCCTTAGAATTTGTGACGTCAGCGGAGATCTAACGATTTTTAAATCTTTTACTAAAACGTTTGGTAGCACGCGGTGGTATATGCTGCTTTGCGCGCAACAAATGCCGCACTTTCAAATAAAGTCGCTAGGAACAGCGGAGATCCCAAAAAGTAAACAAAAGTAGAAGTTAAATATCTTGAAAACCGGTGAATATTTTTCGATGAAATTTGGTAGATATTCGTTTTCGCTCTTTCGGAACCGAGCGACATCACTTTCGTGCCAATTCATTAACTTTTTTGAAGGTGGGAGGATCCCTTTAATATACAAAACATCGCATCCACATGGACGTGCATCACAATAAACATCGGCAATGCTTATTGCCAATGCGAGACTGGCGTCCGTTTGATTTTCCTTCCTTCTGAGAGGAACTCGAACGGAATCCGCCCGCAACAAAAACGCTGGCACTCGTCCACTGGACATTTTGCTGAAAGGCGAATGTAAAAACTGGAGACTCCACGGGGATTTACGGTATCTGATGGGTGTCTTTGCATATCAACAATGACATAAGGCAGCATTGCACTGTCACCCTGGACACATTGTTAAACGGCGCCCGGTGTTCAACACAGGATCCTCCTCATGCATAGCAATGACTGATACTGCGATCAGAGCGTACACGCCCTTTCAATCATTACAAGTACGACAGAGAATGACACGACTAAACCGAGGCGATACGCGAAGTAATTGCTTTTTAGATGTTTCATAGGTACTGGCATTGAGAGCTACTGGTCATCGGACGGTCGGTTGCTGTTCAGTGCTCAGTATTCACGTTTTCACTTGACTGTTTTTTATTATTGCACCTGAGTAACTAGGTACTGCTGGCCAGGTGTATAGGTTGTCACCTAAATCACCGTTATTTCAGTTAGCGATCTGGGTTAACCCAAACACACAGTTGTATGCTCATCAGTTAAATGGCGGGCCGGCAGAACCAGCCGAGTGAAGGGGAGGGGGATTTTATCGCGGGCAATCAGTCAACAGCGGGCTCGGTGCGTGCGGTGGCGGTGACGCGCTTCCTGGCGCAGCTTTAACGAGGTGCGCGCCTATGTTGGGAAACCTTGAGCGCGTGCGGTTGGGCAAGAAGCCTTGACTCTTTCGGCGAGATGCAGTTTTGCTGGCGAGGGGCACGGGAGTGGAACAGCAGCTCACGCAAGCGCGAGCGCCGCTCATTATCCGCCCCAGGGCCGGCCGGGGCGCGCCAAAAACATCCGAGCTGCGGCGCAATCACGGCGCGCGCGATGGGCGATTTCATGGTCAATGACGGCGGCCGCCGCTCGTGGCTGAGCGCTGTGGGCCGGGGCGGTGCCCGGCGGGACAGTTTGACTCGCAGAGCGGTGGGTGCGCTGCAGACTCCAGACTGACTTGTTTGGATCAGGTGGTTTGCTGTGCTCTAGTTGGATGGTACTCTCCACAGACTGACGGCGCTGTGCCCCGAATTAGATTACTCAGTGTGATGGACGGACGTAGCCGTCAAACTGTGACCTATCCGACAGCCAGAGGCTCTCGCTGTGATTTCGTCACGCGACCCGGCGCCGGGGATCGCGTTTGCGGCATCACGCCTCGCGCAGTTGCCGACCCGAGGCCCGGCTGTCGGCCATGTTGGAGTCACGGAGCTGTCGGACAGCTCGGCAGCTGTCACAGCAGACAGCTGCCGACCGAGACTCGGCTGTCAGCCATGTTAGAGTCAAGAGCTTTAGAATTATGAGAACTGCTCTAGTCGGCGTGGAGGTGGCATGAGGACTGAGGAGGAGGGTAGGTTGGATTGCTACATGCTTCATCGTTGACTGAATTTTTATGAACGGTCAGGAAAGGGAAGATAAGATTTGAGCTCCACTATGTATGCCAATGGATAGTTCTGACTCTTTTAAAATCGTCACTTTTTTACAGGTAGAAATGTAGATTTCTCAAGGGCAAATGGCGATAAAACTCCTTGCTCTGTTACATGATATGTCCGAGTCCAGATATGACAAAAATATTATAAGCTAAAATTTTGAATAACTGTAACAAACGTATTAAAACTAAAAATTGACGAAGCAACTTACCTTTATTTCTCTGATCGTCGGAGATATAATAAATAGTGCACTCGCACTTGCGTTGATAATTGTCCGTTGCTTTGTCCGATGTTTTAGGGCCCTGCTTTTCCTAATTCAGCATTGATGACGTGAAAATGAAACACGCGAACTGAGTGTACGCCCAAGCTTCTGAGCACCCATGCTTGGGATCACGTACGGCTAAAACAAATTGTTCGTTATGCGTGTTTTAATTTATTAAAGTTGAACTGAACTAAAGATCGTGGACTTGACAATACTCAATTCACAAGCACGAAAGTAATCTTAAGTTTTCAAAGCTGGCGTAAATCAATGTCACTTCTTGCTTTGTCGGACTTTTCAAAAGCTCTTTCCGTGCTTCTGTCACCAAAGCGTTCGTTTCGTTTTTTCTTATCCTTAACTGTTTTGCTATACGTTTGAAGAATTGCATCTTGTTCATAGTCTACATATATTTTCTTTTTATCACCAGAGCTATTTAGGTGTGATGATTCCTGTTTTACCACATTAAGTAGAATTTGCGAACTTTCTAAAATCTTCTGGTAAGCCTTATCAGTTTCAACGATAATTCTCTCATATTCTTCCTTTAGTTGGATCTTCTTGGCCAGGCTCTCGTTGATCCTAGTGAGAGTTTCACTCAGGTTGTGAATTTGTGACTGAAGTGCTCTCTTTTCTGTCTCTTCTTTTCCTATTTGATCTTGAAGAACTGCTCTTCGGTATCTAAGTTCTTCTACAGTTTTCACCAATTCATTGTTGTAAGTTTGTAAATTTGGGCCGTGCTTGGACGACATACTGTGATTTTGCAGCCTTGCACAGAGAACAGAAACGAAACTGTTCGCATCGCTGAGAAAGGAAAACAGCCCAGCAGTTTATTTTTATTTTGCGTCGCGGGGGCTGTAATGCATGCATCTTCTTATTCAAATATGCCTGGAATTACGACCTCATGAAAGTGAAGCGAACTTATTAAACAACTTAAGCTGTTGAGTTTTATTATCTTTCCTGAAGATTTTAAGTTACCAAAAAAGATACATTGATATTGCAAAAATGACGAGCACAAAAGGCTTTCGCTGTTACATCTAACATAAATAGCTGCTCGCCCCAGCCGATCTCGCCGGGCCGTCGTCTCTCTGACGCTGTCGCTCCTGTCCTTTGCCCGTGTCCCGCCCTCCCGCCGCGCCCCGCCGAGCAGGCGTCCTCTCCCTCCTCTCCGTCCGCCCCGCCCCGCCCCCTCTCGTCTCGGGCGCGTCTGCCGGCGCGACGCGCGGCGATGGCCCGGTATGCATCTGACCGCAGCCCCGGGGAGTCTGCGCCGCCGACCCGCGCGAGAAATGGCACATCACAGTTTAAGGTAGCCATCTTCTATCTCTGTCCGGCATCCAAAACCTGGGTGTTTGCCAGGCCCGTCCTCCACATTAATATCGCGCCCGGCGCCGCGCCCAGCCTCCCGCGCTGGCTCCGCCCGTCATCTCGGCGGCGGCCAATGGGCGCCGGCGGCGCGGTCACGTGACGCCGGCCGGAGCGGCCGCCCGGCGCGGCGGCGGCGGGGCTCAGACGGGCCGGTGTCGGGCGGTGGATGGTGGTGCCGGACTGTGTGTGCCGTGGTGATCGGGACCGTGCGCGTCTCTCTAGGACTGTCTGGCGGCGCGGCGCCGTGAACTGACCGACTACAGAGCCTGCTCTGCTCTCCTGCTGGGGAGCACAGCGCCGCAGCACCCACGTGAGTTGCACGGCCGTGGATCGGGAGGGGGCCCGGTGGCCTGCGGTTAGACACGACTGCATCCTGCAACTGCACGGTCGCTGTCGTCTGCGGTCCGCGCCGTGCCGGGCTCGGCTGCAGAGTTCACTGCCACTCCGGGAAACCTTCCCATGTCCGGGCAGATTTCGGTGTGACGAGCCGGCCAAAAACCCGCCCGACCTCGTGTGAAAATCCGTCGCCGAGTGGGCTCAGTCTGAAATCGGGTGGTGCGCCACAGCACCAGGGCTGTTTCGGCGGACTCGCTGCGTAGCTTAGAGTAGGCCCTTTTTTCTGCATTCTTATTGTGCATGTACTTAGGTACTCCGTGTGTAGATGCGTCGGCATTTTTGCATGCGGCATTTGCCCAGTGATGCGTGTTATATAAATAATATTTAATCTTCAACTTCCGGTCGTTCCTTTAATTGAAAAAAAAAATGTCAGGCGAATCCCTGCTAAGCTTCTCTGCTATGGTCCGCTATTAAGCTTTCATGTAATTTTTCAGTATCTTTTCTAAAAATTATTAATGGGGTAAGCGGCTGCACGCCAAAAGATGCTACCAAACCAAAATTCATGATTGCATGTAGATATATGGGTTCCATGGGGAAGTGACTGCTCCATCCGCACTGTTTGTTGTTGTTTTTAGCATACCAAGTCTTCGCGTTGAGAGGCCTTTTTCGTTTAATTTTACTGCGGTTTGTATGACAAGTTATCAGTTACTGAGACGTCATTTTTGCAGATCCAAACTAGGGCTAAAAATATAGTCTGGCAGATTTGAAGGGAGGGGGTATCAAGAGCGAACGTGGGGACTGGAGCGGCTAAAAGTAGCCTTTGCAGTGCGGTGCGCGGTGCACACCATGCTGTTTTTTTTTTTCCCGAGAGTCGGCCTTATTGAATTTTCCCCATAGATGGCTGAGTGCTGCGGTCACTGCACTCAGTCGAGACCTTCAGGTGTGGCCGAAATATCGGCTTTCCCCCGCTGGAACAAGGTTGACCCTATCTGAAATAATAACCATAGATATACAATGGCAAGCCGCGTATTTGATGCACTCAAATAGCCTATGCATGTAACTCTGATAGTATTCTACACGGCTGTGTCTATATTTAGGGGATCGCGTTCAAATCGTACTTTATAATCGAAATAGAAACAGTATGTGCCACGTTTCGTACCAATCAGCAAGGAATTGGACATTGCATGTGGCCCTGTTTTGAGTCTGTTGGCTGTCGAATTCATCAATAGCGGCACGCGGCGTTCACCGCTGCCTGCCGCCGAGTGCCAGCCTCGGCATAACTGCATCGGTCATCACACGAACACGCCACACGCCGGTGGCGGCAGCTAACACGGACGGTGGGCGGTGTGGCCTCTGTGCCGTCCAGCCCCGCTCCCTGGCCCGCCCCCAGCCCCCTGTACCCCACACCCAGCCCCGCGGGCCGGGCCGGGCTGCGCTGACCCTTGGACGGGACCGGAGCCCGGAACCTGACCCGCGGCGCCCCGCGCCCGGCCCACCGACAGACCCCGGCACGGTGCGCGCCCCGGCACGGCGCCGCCGCTGAGGCATGCCTCATTTCCCGGATAGCCCGGGTGCTTATGTGTAATCTACGGGGTGTTCTAGGGCTGAAACATAACTGCTGCTTTGTATCGTATATTTGCATAGATCGTACATTTGCCGGCGCCCGTTTAATGTAACGTTGTTCGGACCAAACCACGGGAATGTGTGGGCCGCGGCCGTACCCTACCGTAGCCGAGCCGTGTCGGTGCCGTGTGTGCCGTAGCCACGGCCGCAGCCGTGTGAGCAGACTATACGCCCGGCTTGGAGATCAGCCGTGGTGGGGCCGCAATAACCGTGTGCGTCGCTAGGACCATCTATCTCCACTTCTAGCACTACCGGCCGAGCCGGTCAGATGCGCTCGTGCAACGAATCAATAGAGAAAAAGTAGTACGAGAATAGGTCACACAAAATCACCACTTGTTTCAAACTCTCTTTCATCTCGGTGGTGTGTCGTATACACCGCGGCTCGTGCAGTGCCGTGCAGTACTGTTCTGGCCGTGCGGTGCCGTTTTAGCCGCGCCGTGCGCCGTGCCGTCCGTGCCGAGCGGCGCCGTCCGTGCCGTGGCCGGTCCGCCGTGCGGCGGTGGTCGGGGTTTATGTGCGGCCTTACCGGCCCGCCTCGGGGCGGCGCGGGGTACCGGGGCGGCCACTGCAGCTGTGCTGATTTCAGCCGCCCGCCCAGCCGCTCACCGACACAGCATGATCAGCAGCGCTGCCCGGCATCTGCAGGAGAAGGAATCAATCCGTTAGCACCCATTATTGATGGCAGTGACTGGGCAAAACGAATTCCAACAGTCTCTATGCACATTGCACAACATGCCATTTCTTAGCCCATCCCTCACTACCTTACAACTCTGTCAGATATTTACCATCAGCACATATTTAACAATATGGTGATATGGCATTTGACGTGTGTTTGTTCTAATTGGTACCAGCCTAATCTAGTGCCCTGCCGCGAAAGCCGCTGTGAGCCGCACCTGTTGCCGCGGGGAGGGAGGGGGAGCCTGTAGAGCGAAATCCAGACGGGGAGGGAGGGAGGGGGCACCTGTAGGGCAAAATCCAGGCGGTCACGAGGGGAGCCGTGCGCTGCGGTGGAAACGGGAAACGCACCTGTTACTGGGGAAGACACGGGACACCTGTACTGAATGGTGTTGTGAATATACAACTGCACGCAGACAATAAGCAGAAGGGCGACGGCAGATTCAATGGCTTAGATTGGTAACGGCTGGTGACTAACATGGTCATTTTCAGATGAACCTGATTGAGATAGCGATGCAATAAACCTGCATAATGTGGTGATAAAAATTGTACCTATATAACTTTTGGAAAGATGAGTGAGATCATATATGTAAACAAACAAAGAGGCACATCTTGTGCCGACTACCGAGTGATTTCAACAAATGTTCGCGGCTACGCTCAGCAAGATTTTCACAGTGGCAATCTCGGAGTAGATTTCACTATACCTTCTCCATGTTAACTTTTTAAGAAATTATTTGACAATCAGAGACATTTAATTACGTTGACAATGTGCGCACTTGTACAATCGATTGACACTACGGCTAAGCTCGAGGGTTACATTGCCACAGAGATTAGCATTGAGCACGCGTCTTTTCATCGCCTTTATTTGGGAATTTACATAAGATCTCAGAAATGGAAACCCGCAATGTAATTGTCATTTCTGCTTTTAGCACAATCATGTGGTGTTGTGTTAGCGCTCCAATCAACCCTGGCTATCTGTTGTAGTTTGCTACTGTAAAGCACAATTCTTTGTGCATGCACGGCTACTGTTGGCCACAATTAGGTGCGGCCCGTATCGATGGCTGGTCTCCATCTGGGTCGTTAGCCGGCGCCGATGACTTGTTTCGGCCGTCCCGGGACGCACGCAGGCCAATTTTCCGCCGACGGAAGTTCCGTGACGACGCGGCACGGGACACTTTTTCGGAAAATCCAGACTGTTAGAGCCCAACATGCGACATTTGCCGGCGCGGAAAAAAAAAACACCGGCTGTCACTTGGTGTCGGGTGCATGCATGGCACCGTAGTATTCTAAGTACGGCGGCGGCGCCGTGATTCACGAAGGACGTCCCGGGTCGGGCGGGAACCGCTCACGGTCCCGGTACTTCTCGCAGGAGTACCTACCGGTACCGCTGGTACCGGTACAGTGGACGGCGTCACGACTGCTCGATAGCAACAAATTGGCGGTATTTGATAACATGTTGTCAAGCTCGTAATCTAAAGTTGACGTCGACTGAGTCTTGACAGTGATCCGGTTATTTTTGTTCGTTTGTCCGAGTTAAAATTTTCTGTTCATGTGAACCATTTAAGCGTTGCTTAAAACGGCTTAAACATACCAGCCCATTGACGTAAGCGAACTGGGAATTATATGTAATTGGGCGTGCTAATCAAAAGTAAAGGAGTTGAGGACGGTTCATTGCCGCGTACCTGTGATGTGACGCTGTAACAAAGATATTTTACCCACACGGTGTAGCAGGTAGCATTCTGACCTGCACTACCACTCTACGAAGCACAACAATAATTCGCTGTTGTTTCCCCTGGCACTTGTAGAGCTGAGTTGGTGATTTCTCCGAGACCACAATAGGGTATATCCCCGCCGCTGAGGCCGTGCCGTGTTGCGCTGACTCGGCGGGGCCTGGCCTCTCAGACCCGGGTCCTCCCGGGCCGGGGGGGGGGGGTCAGTCGGGTCTGCGCTGACCTCTGACCTCAGCGGCACGTCATCAGACGGCGCTGAGCGGGCAGTGTGGTCCGCTCGGTATTGTCTGCCTCCGGTCCCTCGGCCCGGTCCGTCCCCTGCCGACCCAGAGCTGACCGGTCTGTGTCCCGTCAGCGGCTGAGGCTGCAGGGTCACCCGGCACCCGGTGACACCCCACTGGACCGCCGGCTGCGTCAGGGAACTCCTGACGTCACCAAACACACGGCGTCATCAGCAGGCCGCCCTGGATCACCCGCGGCCGCGGCCAATCGTCGGCACTCATACAGTTCATCGGTCTCATTATACGCCTGAAACTTGGACACGTGGCAATATTGTGCTACATGTCTGATGAAAAACTTCATCATCAACTTGTTTTGAGCTCGCGTTTACTTTTGCCCGTTTACATCAGCGTATTCCAAGATCACGCGGTCTCAATTAATCATGGCTGACACCGAGCCCGGCACCCGTCTGACCGACTCGAATCACATCCCTGATATCGAGTTACAAACAGCAGCATAATTGAGCTGTGGTCGGCGACCTATTCCTTTGCCTCGGGTCGAGATGCGCACTGAATTTCAGCAGCACGTATCGTGTCTCGCTGTAAATTTTATCTTTTAAAACCCCTGACGCTGTAAGAAGAAGCACGAACATTGAACATTGCTCAAACGCCAAATTTCTGGTAAGCCTACATAGAAGTGGATGCTGCTGCTAAGCTGCCAGAGCCATCTCAGAGGAGTGCTGGGCGGTGACCGGTCTCATGCGGCTTCGACTACCGTTCCCAGAGGAATCGCGAGCTGCTCCGCTGCCCCACCGTCCCGTCCACTGTCCCCAGAGGACCGCCGCCCGTCCCACCGGTCCCCAGAGGACCGCCGCCCGTCCCACCGTCCCGCCGCGCCGCGCCCGGCCGGGCCGCGTCACTCCAGATGTGTCAGCGATAGCCCCAGAAACACGCGGAAAGCCGGACTCACCCGCAAAAAGACATTGTGCAATGTCGACCGGCGACTGCAGGTCGTCCGTACAGGTTGTATGCAGGCCTTATCTCATGCGCCATCTGCCGTCCCGCTCCCCAAGATAAGGATGATTTAGAGCAGAGCGTGTTCCGGTCGCGGGGCGTGACCGGCCCGGAGGGAGGACCTACTACACGCCGCTCGGACCGTGTGTGAGACTCGGCCGCTAACGAGCGTCCCCCTGCCAGATCTCGACCCCGTTCACTTTGCACGCTCGTGTAAAACAACAAAATTACATGCGAGCTGTTCTGCAAAAAAAAAAGATGAACATCAACCAATTTCTTGCAACATATGCTCGGAACTATCCAACCATCACACTTCGCTCCTCAGCTGTCGTCAATAATCTGTTCCGCATGTTACGTGTTTTGTTGTTCGACTCTGCATCCTCCAGCCGTCTTGTCTTACCTCCGATGACTCGTGCCTCCCCGCGAGGGATTCGCGTCCCCGCCCAGCACCACCCACTGATATTCAGCAGTAGGGCGCCTCTGAGGTGGCCCTGTGACCCCGGCACCACCCCCTCTGCTATCCAGTAGTCTCTGCGGTGGCCTGTGACCCGGCGCCTCCACCGAACCCTTTGTGACACGTGTCTGCGGTGTATCTGCAGCGGCGGCTCGCCATTACCGCCTGTATCGGACCGCCCCCGGCGCCACACCGCCACATCATCACTTCTATAATTAAATAACGATTATCGCCGGGATCTGCGGCCGGCCGACGGGGCGTCTGGGCGCCCGCCCGCGCCCAGGGTGTCGATAGCACGTGTCATCGGCCACCGGCGACCCGGCGGCAGCCCGGCGCCCCGCCGGCCGGCCAGGGAGGGGCGCGTGCCGCCGGAGCCGCGGCCGGCAGGGCGCCGTGCAGATGACTGAAACGTGACTCGGGGAGCGGCACTGTGCCGCCCTACGGCCCGCGGTTGGACGGGCGGAGAGGGTGGAAAACAGGGAGGGAGTCGCCGGAGTGACCGGCCGACACGGCCCCGCACGGTGTGTGGTATAGCTTCGCGTCGAGCACGGCACGGCGATGTACATCATTCTGCAAAGAACTTGAAGCAACGCTAATGAGATAGTGTTGTCTGCATCTAATTTCATATTTCAAATTGATAAAGATGTGAAGGCTTCATGACAAATAACAAGACATTGTGCTAAGCGGAATTTTCGATGCTTCTGAAGGTCAGATCACATCAGTCCAATCAAGTAATATGATCTACCGCACTATACTACCCGAACTGATAAGACAGCTGGCATCCCCGATCGGACGTCGTTTCCTTTCCGGCCGGAAACTGCCGGCGGGCATCAAAGGGCCGCCGGCCCGACACCGGCCGTCCACCCGGCCCGACACCGGCCGTCCACCCGGCCCGACACCGGCCGTCCACCCGGCCCGACACCAGCCGTCCACCCGGCCCGACACCGGCCGTCCACCCGGCCCCCAACACAGGGAGTCTACCCGGCCCGACACCAGCCGTCCACCCGGCCCGACACCGGCCGTCCACCCGGCCCGGCACCGGCCGTCCACCCGGCTCCACACCGGCCGTCCACCCGGCCCCCAACACAGGGAGTCTACCCGGCCCGACACCGGCCGTCCACCCGGCCCGACTCCGGCCGGCCGTCCACCCGGCCCGACTCCGGCCGTCCACCCGGCCCGGCACCGGCCGTCCACCCGGCTCCACACCGGCCGTCCACCCGGCCCGGCACCGGCCGTCCACCCGGCTCCACACCGGCCGTCCACCCGGCCCCCAACACAGGGAGTCTACCCGGCTCGACACCGGCCGTCCACCCGGCCCGACTCCGGCCGGCCGTCCACCCGGCCCGACTCCGGCCGTCCACCCGGCCCGACTCCCTGCAGGACTTTCTGTCGGCTTCTCTGCAGCGCACCCGCTTCATCCGTCGTGTGGTAATGCTGGCCGCCGCCGCACCTGCGCGACGACGCCGGCCTTCCGACGGTGCAGACCCCGGGGAACTGGGCGCAAACTGGGGCGGATCCTGGAGCCTTTCGGGGTAAACCCTTCGGTCCACCGGCCGGTCCCGCGGCGCCGTCCGCCCGAACGGTCGTCATCCCCGTTCTTTCTGTGGTCGAGGACTGCAGGCAGACATACTGGCCGCCGCTCTCCAAAGCTGCGACAAAGCTGACCAAAGCCCATGAGTAGGAAAATCGCCTCTGCTTCGTGTGTCTCGATTTTTATCGCGTCCACTCGTCGCGCCGCGTTGAGTCAGAAGGAAAGATGATCGCAGAAGTGTGCATTGGCTGTTACTCGATGCACACAAGAAGGGAAATGAATCCGTATTTTATTGCGAACAATAGGCGCTGGCAGTTCAAAGAGACTCATTCATTGTGGTCCTGACTGGGGTTAACAGACTCGGAGCATCACTTTTGTTATTGGTTCAAACCGGTTCGTGTACGGATAATGCCCAATTTACCTTCCAGACATGCGTAATGCTTCGACCTGTATTTGATGAGTATGGGCAACTTTGGCACCTTATCACTTATGCAGATAAGATGAATACAAATTAATCTAGTCAATTGAGGCTTGTTATACACGGTGTCCCATATGTTCAATGTAGCGCGTATTTTAACGAAAAGTGGTTATCACACGTTCTTTTACCGAGCCTTTGGATAGCGACAGTAACCATTGCCTTCAATGGTTATCATCATTGCCCTGAGCAGCCGTACACCCCAGCTGTCCACTGTTCGGTGTGGCGGTAACGACCACTGAATGTGGCGTGGGAGACGCGCCATCTGCCGCCGCCGCGCCGCCGCTCGCCGCTCTGTGACAGTTGTCTCTCCCTTCGACCGGGTGGTGCGCCACGGGAGAGCCGGTTCGGTATACCGGACCGCACCGCCGCCGGCAGCGACAGACACTCTCGTTTTCACCCCGAGAGGTGTGTTTGTGGCCAGCCAGCACTTTCAATGTGGGATATTGTGAGGTATGGTACGGACGACTCCGTACACCTGTTCACACTCAACAGGGCGTGTTTGAGACTGGATAAATATAGAATAGTAAAACTGACGCCGCCGGCCGGGCGACAAGGCGCCGTCAGCTCTGTTTACGTTCCATTTCGTCCAAATTACCCGCCCATCCGTCACTCCTGACAAGTTGCCGGCTTACTAACAACCGTAATAACGTCAAAGAAAGTGCTGTGAGTGGTACTGGGAGGCGGGTCGCGCCGGTCACGGCGGGCGGGACCCCCTCCCCCCTCCCCGCCCCAGCTCACGGCTCGGGGTGGTCCCCCCGTCCCAGGCCCAGCAGTGACCGTTACGTCTGTCCGGTTCCCTCTGTCCCCCCGGTCCCCGCTCTGACCGCCCTGTCCCCCTGTCGGCAGGAGTCGGTATGGAGGCGCAGTACATCGCCTCGTCGGCCGAGGCCGAGATGGCCTACTCGCAGCAGGCCATGTACCAGCAGTACTACTCACAGATGGACTACCGCTGCTCGCCCATGGAGATGGGCTACTCGGTGCGTGCCGACGCCGCCGGCGGCGACCTGTACGGCCGCGGCTACATGGGCCACCTGGCGCCCTCCATGGTCGGCGCCGCCGCCAGCTACGACTACAGACTGATGCCGGCCGGCAAAATGTGCGGCGAGCTGCCCCCCGGCGGGCCCCCCGAGAAGAAGGGCAAGGAGGCGCGCATCCGGCGGCCCATGAACGCCTTCATGGTCTGGGCCAAGACGGAGCGCAAACGGCTGGCCGACGAGAACCCCGACCTCCACAACGCCGACCTCAGCAAGATGCTGGGTAAGTGAGCTGCGGCCCCGCCGCCCAAACCGTCCCGTCCCTAAACACTGACCTAGCAGGAGCACCGGGCGCTGGCGGCCCCTGACCCAGTGGGGCCGGACAGGGGCCCGGGACGGCCGACCGACGCCAACGGCGGACATAGCGGCTCCGGCGGGCTCCCGTCGGCTCCCGGCGGGCTCTCGGTGGCTCCCGGCGGCTCACGGCGGCTCCCGGCGAGCTCTCGGTGGCTCTTGGTCCTCCTTTGGTTTACAGGGGCGGACAGTCAGGAAGCTCAGTGCGGGGCCCGCCTGTCGTCCCCAATGGAGACGGATTGTGCGGGCGGGTAATAGCCGCACTGATTACAGGGCGGCTGGGGGCGAGTTAAGTGCCGCAGTCGCTGCCTAATCTCCCCCTATGCTCTGCCGGATGACACAGGCTCCCCCGGAGCCGGGTAACAATGAGACAAATTTGGTGACAGACGATTTTCTCGGCGCCTGACGCGCAGCTGCCGGGTGACACGCGCGGCCCGGCCGGGTCAACCCGTGTCCCGGACAGTTTATTTGCCACCTCCGCCTTTCACTGACGAGCAATTAGCGTCCGCCGCCCTGCATGTTGTCTCCTCATTGTGCAACGGGGCCGCGCTGCGTGAGCTCTATCATAATGACATCGGGCCCGGCGTCGGGCGCGACAGGTCGTGGGAGCTGACCGGCAGGGGCCGGGGGCGCGACCCGCCGTGGCCCGGGCGCCCGGTGGGAGGCGCGTGACGCAGACGGTCGGCCCGGCCCGGCCGTAACTCGTGAGCCGAGCACGCCGCGCGCCGTGGCCGTGGCTCGTGCCCTCGCCAGTTTACTGCTGATGAGCCATGATTATTAGCGACTGTTGAAAGCCAGGTGATTAAGATTTAACTGGCGAGTTCCTGCACGTGGGGCGAGTGTCAGCCGGCTGGGCCAGACCGCATCTGAGAGTGACAGCGGCCCTAACGAACATCCTCCCCATCAGCTGACGGGCGAAAACGGCATAAAGAGCATACGGAAGACGGGTGAAGTCATGCATACATGCTGACCTGTGTTGTTCGTTTGGTGATAATCTGGTAGGTAAGTGGAAGGCATGATAATTACTCGGGTTGTAAAGCATACAAACATGGCGATGTCACGTCGTTTCAAAACTTTTTGCGCAACAACCAGCCACTATCTATGCAGTGTATGAAAAGTTGCTAGGCAAACATAACCTAAGGCCTTACATCAATCCCCAATGCCAATGACTTTCTTCACAAACGAAAGTCAATGGATAACCTGAGTTGCGCCCCATTGTTAACCGTACCGTACCCCGTAGCCCCGGGTTCGTTCGGTGTCCCGTGTCCCCTGGGCCGGCCCTGTGGCTGCTTCAGTGCTGTGGCCGCCCGGTACCCGCCCACCGCCGGCCACAACACCGCATTGTCCCTCGCGCCCGTCCGCACGAGGGGAGCCGGGCCGCGCGGCTCCTCGGGGCCGGCCGGTCCGTCCAGTCAGCAGTACTGAGCGCGGCACATTGCACGTGCTGAGCCGTAACTGGGGCACCCGGAGGTCAGCTGATGACGCTGCACCGCTGTGTGTGTGTTTGTGGGTGTGTTGTATTGGGTGCTGGTCCCCCATCCAGCCGCCGTGCCGGCCGTACACACCAGTTGACTCGGGCTGAGCTCAGTTGAGGCGAGAGCTGGGTCTGAGCGGGGGCGGCGGGGGCGGCCACCCGTCCCAGGCCCCGCCGGCGTCCCCGCCCCCGACTGATTGTGGGAGCCCCTCACTGGGCCAGCAGAGTGTGGGAGCCCTGATTCAGGTGCCTGGGAACGCGCCCCCGTGCCGGCCCCAGACGCGTACCGATTAAATGGAGCCAGAGGATATTGCTCAGCCGCACGCTGATTGCCGGGCTGCGCTCTCAAAAACAAAATTGGGACGCATCGTTACATCAAATATGCTTTTGACATGCTTATCTAGCCAGATGACAAAACGCCTATACACCTTTGCAACGCATCAATTTAAGATTGAGCAATGAGCATGTAAATTCATTAAATTGTATAGCTAGGAGTACAAATAAGGTAATGCAAAAAAAGGCAACGAATAATACACTACAAAGTGTATAAAACTTACAAGTCAAAGGCGACAAGTCTGCTAACAAAATCTCTCCGTGCCAGCCTGTGTGCTGTTTGGAGTCACATCATAGTCAGAGGGCACCCGAATGGATGTCAGAGCACGGGTCTTGCAGCCGCTGAAGTGTCGAATACTAGACGTGTTCTCGCCTTCAGACGGAATGCCTTCAGGGTGTCGAGTTGCCCATTACTGATCAAAACAGGCGGCGGGATCCACAGCGGAGTCCGGCTCAGTGCTCGGTGGCTCGCCCGCGGAGTTACTGGGTCCGGCACGACGGACGAACCGGGAAGCTCTGTCCGCGTCACTCGATTGCCTCAAAACTGGTGCACGCGCGGCGAGACGCGCCGTGTCGCCGTCGCTATCAGATCGGCCGACCCGTGCGACGACAACCCCTCATTTCCCCCGACAGCAGCGCGCCGTCGATAAGGAGAGACGGACGGACCGGCCGGTTTCGCCGCGCCCGGTGACCTGACCCGGCCCGCGGCGCGGCGCGCCATGGCCGCTCCCACCACCAGAGCGGCTGTCCCGGCCGAGGACAGCGCGTCGCGGCCGCCTGTAATGGGTGACCCGGACAGCGGCCGCCGTCGGTCGGCGCCGGTCGGCTCAGCTGGGAGTGGGGCCGCCCACAGGGCCGGAAACGGCCGGGCCGTATGACGACCGGCGCTGAGCGTGCTGTGACGTCCGGCGTCCCACTGGCGTCCCACTCTCACTGGCGTGCGCCGTCCCCCTAATCCGAGCCATTAGCGGCCAGCGCAGCCGGGCGGCCGTATGGAGACATTACCCGTCGGCCGCACGGGGAGCGATGCGTCCGCCGCTTTCGTGATGACCTCGCCGAGTGAGCCGATGTCGCCGAGGTCACAGTGCATGCGGCACGGTGAACCGCCGACCTGGGCCTCGAATTTCGAAAGGGTGGAAAAGTCGCAGACGCCCGTTGATGGAGCCGCGGTAGATGCCATTGGCAGCTGACTAGACAGTCAGTGGACTGGTTTGAATTATGCGATACAATCTGGTCGTAAAACTGAATCAACAGAACCGCTAACATCAAAGTTCAATTCTCGTGTGTCATGCACGTCTGTGCACATTTTCGTTAGGAATCTCATAAAACTGGAAATTTCTGAGCGACTTAGCGTGCATGCACTCTGGTGTGTTCCGTGCTCCGCGCGGTGAGGAGCGACCACTCCCGGTCGGTCGGATATTTCTCCATCGCTGTGACAAACCGGGACAAGATGTGGGCTTATCCACTCTGCGTGACCCCCCCCCCCCCCCCCCCGCCCGTGGAGGCCCGCCCTGTTCCGAGGCCGGCATCGCAGAACTATCGGCAGTCTGGAAATCGAGACGAATTAGCCAGCTGACATCATGCCGGTGATAAATCACTGGGGCGGGCCTCCCTCCGTTCAGCGGCATGACATGCGCGCGCGGCTCAGCTCGGCCGGCGGTCCCGTGACGTCCGAATCACTGTCAGCACGGCCCGCCGTGCCGGTCCACCGCTGTGTCAGCCAGGATTGGCGGCCTCCTCTCTAATGGCGGAAAGTCAGCTATTCTAAACGGTCGCCCGCTATGCATACTGTCTGACCGTGCTGAGGAGAGCTCCGGCAGATGCCATGCCGGCAGCGCGCGGTTGGAATCGCTCCTCGGTCAGCCGTCGATGGTGCTGGCGGTGGGGAAAGACATGAGCCGCAGCTCGGCCCGGCCTGGACGTGTTCCGAACCGGCCGGCGGTTGCAGACCAGCCGTACACTGCAGAACACGGGATGGCCGGTGTTCTGTACTGCCGCGCTGCAGACCTGCCTGCCCGCCGGACCTTGGGGCCGCTGCAGCTCCACTTCTTTTCCGCGGCGCAGCGGCGGCGTTCCTGGCGGCTTAACGAGTACAGCGCGGTCGGTGACACAGTCCCAGTCATGGCCCGTACATTTTTAGCGGCGCAGGGAGCCGGCCTCGTACCTTAAGTTGGCAGGTGATGGCTCACCTGCAGTGCCGTCCCGTGCAACAATGAATTACATATTTGCCTAATTATACCAGACATATCGCACTGCATAATTTGCATAGGACAGAAGCCAGGCCCGACTATTCCCTGCTCACTGCGGACCAGCCGCGCCCGCGGCGCCGAGGGGTGCTGCTCGCACGCCGCCGCCCGTCTCCCGTTGTCACACTGCGGGCCGGCCGGCCGCGGTCGGTCCGGTCGCCCGACGCTCGTCCGCTGGCGTGAGGCCGTCCGGCGGCCAACATTTCCTCCACGTGTCGTGCGGTTACCCCCGGTCCGTGTTGGACTGCCGGCGCGGCCTTCCCTCCCTCCCAGAGTGTCCCCGAGAGTTACCGAGTGTCCGCAGAGTGCCCTCTGGGTGTCCTCTGAGTGTCCGCAGAGTGTCCGCAGAGTGCCTTCTGGGTGTCCGCCGCAGGGTGTCCTCTGGGTGTCCTCTCGGTGATCTTTCCCCACTCACTCTGCTCCAACGATGCCACGAGCTCCCAATTTCCCACTTTTACTGTAATGATGTACGAGTCTTTTTTGCCGACGATGGATTTTCAAGATCATTCACTCGACTGGAATATTTATTTGCTCATGCCCGTTTAGAATGTGGTTGCGTCTTGGAAAGGTCATGCAACCCTCTGTCGTCTTTTTAATACACAACTAAAAAAAACCTAGAGAGTCTTGCGTAGCGCTGGACTTTAAGCGCCGACAGTTCCACCTGATACCTTTCTAAGACGTCATGGGTCGACCGATCGCCGCCCCGGTGACCCTCCATGGTCCAGATATCACGCGCGGCGCGTCGAAATCGTCACATGCGCGTCAGGAATGTGGCACTCTCTCCGCGGCGGCGGCGCCGAGGTTTTGTGGGTCCGGCGGTGGACGGGTGGGCCGGACCGTGCCGGGTCGGCGCCCGGCCGGGCTGTCCTGGCACGC